GGTTTTTAAGCAGAGGCCGACAAAAACAACAAAAACCCCCTCACAGATTTACACCTAAAACATTATACCAAAATCAATTTGGTTCTTTAAAGCAGCACTGTCAACCATACTGAAAAATGAACATTTAATAAAGATAGAATATTTATGAAATATTAATTTGGACTGTGTTTGAATTTCACTGAAGTTCCAACCCAGTCAGTAGATATACGGAGACAAAACAGAGACAAAGTTGGGATCCTCCACAGACCTCAATGTTGTATTATCATGCATGCGCTAAAGTGCTAGAGTACATCAGTGATGTCCGCTCAGCTGAAGAGGACCCGCCTGAAGAAGATGGTTGCAAATACGAGGGACAGGTTTAGGAAAGAAGAACGCATCTTCTCCTTCCCACCCTAGCCACCAGAACCCCCGAATTCTGCAAAGTCCCCAAACGGTAACAGTGCCAACTATATATGTTTTCTAAATCCTACAGTCTAAAGGCTGGCTGATCATTATATCAAATGAAGTTCTCAAATAATTGCAGCAACAATGTTACCCATCATTGTATTATGTCTATAATTACGGAAGTCTGGTCTGACGAGAAATAAAACGAGTAAAGCTTTGAATTATTTCACCTTCATAAATACAACTTTGCATTCGGGATCTCCTCCAAATAAATGCCTGCTACTCCCCCACCCTATAAAATGGCAAACAGAAGGGATATTTGCTCTTATAATCAGCTCTAAACGTAACCTTCAAATCATTTCTTCCCTCTGGCTTCTGTTTTTGGAATGTAGCACAGCCTACACTCTTTCTTTGACAAGTGTAAATGTCACATTATTTCTGACTTGACATGTTCATTCTCAGAGGAGGCTGAAGTGATTTCTGTCCTCGTCGAATCTGGCTTCAAAAGGTGGAAGTGTAAAAACATGCAGGATAAAACAAACAAGTCAGGATCTTGGCAGGGATTAAGAATGAGATCCTTCCTGAACACATATTTACATTTGGTAATAGACAGGAAACAGAGCTGCAAAGCTTTTTCCATCCAGCATATATAGGTATTTCACCAATCAATGGATGGTCAAAAAAATGAAATTGTGGGTAATGGTACGGACAGAGATTTAACACGAGATCTGGTTTCCTTTCAATGCTTCAGGCCCACCCAATCTGCATGATGTCTGGCTACCAGCCATTCTAATTGACTAGGATTATTGTCTGACGTTAGACGTGGAATGAAGCCACAATGAGCTGCACTGTTTTTACTCTGTATTTTATTATTAAATATTCTTATTATAAAAAAAAAAAACATAACGTATTTTAATTCAATTGTCATTATTATATTATAGACAAGTGGGACAGTAAAAAAAAACAAAAAAAAAAAACTATATTTATATATTCTATACTTATTAAATATATAATATAGAGAGATTGTTTTTAGTTTTTTACTGCTGTTCCTCTGTTCCCCTCTATTGGTTACTTTTTCCCACTCAATCATCTCTCAAATCAAAACGAACATGCTTCTTATCAAGCTCAGCCAACCAGCGTTTTATGTCATATAAGCAGTTTAGCAAGTGGTTGCCTCAACATGTCATTACATC